TCAGTTTATAAGTTAAAGCAGAAGATCGAATTAAAATATTTCTGTTTTTATTTACTATATTTATATAAATATATTTGTATTGTTTCATTTATATTGGAACAAATTGAGAAAGTAATACTAATATTAAATACAAATTGAAAAATATCCTTTTTAAGCTACTATGAAATTAAAAAAAATGGTTCGTAACGTAATTGAAATTACTGTGATTTTACTGTGAATTGACGAACTATTTCAGTTCTTTATTAATATTCTTCATTTTCTAATAATTCATTATAATTATAATGACAGAATTTTTTAGATAGAAAAACAGGCAGGAGAACGAGTAAATATCATAGCAATTTTATGTTAACGGTTAGAAGAAATTTACATTCTATCTTCTATCAGTTTTTTATCTGCTAGATGAAACTTATATGGTTTCTAAAATTTGAAAATTCAAGTTTGATACAGAAAATATTTGCTGTCGAGACTTTTCCACTTATTGGTTTAAAATGTAATGTTATTGATAATGTAATATAGAACAATTGTAATTGTAGCGCATCGTTTGTTTGTCGCCAGATTTAATAGTGGTGGTCGCATCCATGGTGGTCTTGTCCGTGGGGAGCAATGGTCAGGTGTTCGCCACCTCCGCCATTAGAGGCATCCGATTTTTGCAAATACTGCGGATGCTCCACGTCGATCGGCAAGGTGGCACGTGGCGACTTCTCGGCTCTGTTGTTTTCATTCACCGTCAGGTACGTTGTCGAATAATCCATTCACACTGGTTTTAACGAATGTGTTGAAAGACACTTTTCAACCCTTTGTACTCGACTGGGCGACTCTGAGGCGCCATTAAGAATTGTTATATCACGTACAAAATCATTTTAACACCACCAAATTTGTTCACTTTTAAGAAACCGTTAAATGTTTAACCGATGCACGAGTCGCAAAATTCAATTTTATATGTATAAAATGCACCAAGTTATATAAAATGGATACTATAAGTCAGAAAAATTGTTTTGCATTTCGAGTTAAAATGCTACCGACTGCAAAGGGTTAATAATTTCTATTCAACACTATTTTTACCGAAGGAGTTGACGGACATTTTTTAATAGTTTTTAATAAACATTATTTCCTATGTTCGATGTTTCCTATGTGACCACTTTTGCAATGGTCATCGCAAAATTAGTTCGGTAAATTGTGTAATACAAAATTAATTCGGTAAATTGTGTAATACAAAATTTTAGGTAAAAATAGTGTTAACATTCTATTCAGTCCACAAAATTCCGTTGCAAAGTAGATATTGTTAAGTTATTAACGATTTACCCACCGGAAGTAGAATTTTATATTTAGTAGAACTTTATATTAATTCTATCAGGAAATAGTATAAAAATCATTGGTAATTAAACAGAGAAGAGTAAATCTCGCCAACTTTGATATCGAAATTTGTTGTCAAAGTCATCTTCGAGGTAGACAACAAAAATACTATTTTTATAAATTTTCATTGAATTTCTCAAAAGAAATTAATTTTGCGTTAGGTCTGTGTTAGGTGTAGATTGGGACTAGGTTAGGTGTGAGTTAGTATATATAGGTTTGCGACATTGTGTTGACAACGTTTCTTTATACATGTTTCATGAATTTAGTTATTCCGCCAAAAATCGAAACCTAATACAGATCTAACTATAATCTAATCCAAACCTAACCTATGTGTAACTGAAATATTTTGTATAATGTGTCTCCTTTTTTGTATAATTACCAAATCTTTTCTTAATCCTCAACTGGTATAATAATTTTGGGGTCACGATAAACCCAAAATAAGAAATGCAAAGAAACGTATTAATTTCATTCTGTAGATGGATGCTCCGTTAATATTTTATTCTTAGTTGCCGTATAAAATAACAATAGGAAAACAATGCAGGGGTTAGTTGTGACCCCAGTATGCCAGGTAAGGATTATATTACGAAATAAATTATTACATCATGTTACTGAGGCAGATCTTTTAATTAAGCATTGAAATCGTTGCTATTGTTAGGAATAATAAAGAAATGCTTGGCGGCAAGTTGTTAATTTTGAGAAACTGTGAAACAATTATCAGTGGGTAATGTATTAATAAATAGTAGATATTTATGCGAATTCCTATTTGTATAATAATTATGATAATTAATGGCTACACCCCTTGCAAAAAGTTGTCCATCGGTCAAATCGAGCGTCGGTGATAACTAGTTACATATTCGTTAATAAAAAGATTTATTTTTCGACGAAAAATAAATCTTTGCGAGACACTTTAGCAATAGCGTAAGGCAGACTGTAATTAAAGCATCTCGATGACAATTTTCAGGAGCTGATCACAACATTGTACATCGGGTTCCTAGGTCTTATTTTCAGCAGTTACTTCGTGTATCTTGCCGAAAAAGATGCTGTTGGGCCCGATGGAAAAACAGACTTTTCCAGTTATGCTGATGCACTGTGGTGGGGGGTGGTAAATATAATTATTTCAACATGTGTGTGTTAGTTCACGTTCCCTAACCTCTCCGCTTGAACTGTCACGGTGGCCGCTCTGCACAGTTCAAACTCGCATTCATGCTTTGCAATTTCGAACACTTGTCACTCCACGATAATTTACTGCACTGTGAGACGAAAATCCAAGTTGCATCCTAATTAACATATTTTAATTCAATAATTAAAATTAATATTTTAATTTTTGCTATCTTTTTGTAAGGTTAGGTGTGGGCTATGTGGTTGCTAATGGCAGATGCAACTTATAATGATTAAATGCATAAACAAATGATATCAATGTCTAGACTTGCCAGACTTCAATAAACGTCTCTAAAAAATTGACAAGAATTCAACTCTGCAATAAAGTTCGGATTAAGAGACATGAATTGCAAGCAAATTTTGCACAAATCATTACACGACATAAACGAGAACTGTGTAATGTTATTAAAAAAGAAAATTTGTAACAGAAGACGATTAAGATCGATAAATGAAAAGGAAATTTTAAAGGATAATCCTAATAGATATAAATTAAAAGCATAGATGAACAATAAAATTCAATATAAATTGAATGTAAATCTGCGAAGAACAATAAAATGAAAAGTGAATTTGGTTACGGTATATCATCTCAGTGTGAACAATTGATTAATTTTCTGAATTAGGATCGTTAAGAGAAATATAGAATACTTTATAATTAATATATAATACTTTATATACTAAATATATTTTATTTTAATATACTAAATATTTTAATATACTAAATTACTGTATAATCAAAACATGAAACAGCAAAATAAGAATTATCGACAAATTCCATGAAAAAATATTATAATTTCATTTAGTTTAAATGGCACGAATTTTCGCATCGAGTCCGATATATGTGACGGTATTTTCTTTCCTAAAGAAGATTGAGCAGTTCTAATATTTCCCCAAGAAGCTGGATCGAAAAAAGAATTCAGATTAAGCGCACCGGGAGCACGAAAGAACTCTGTTTGCATTAAATCCATTTATCCAGCGTGTAATAAGCGTCCGGCTCGCTCGGTTTCTATTAACGCGAATAATTAATTCTGGCCAGCGATTTCGCTCATTACCTCGGAATGGGTTTCATTCAACGACGTGTACCGCTTAATTGTGTGCCGGTCGCTAATGTTTATTAAGCGGTGCTGCTAATCATTCGGGAAATATGCCTCTATTTAGAGACCCTCGAATGGTCCGTGCGGGGATCAATGGAGCCGAGGTCGAATAAACGAGGATTCAAGTGTCGATTGATTAATATCCTCCCGCCATTCGAGAGGCCGCTGGGCCGTGCTGTTCTCTTTCGATTGTCGTCCACACTTTTGCTTTCTTGCCGAGGGAGTTCCTGGGAGCCAGAGACTTTCATCACCGTTGCGTTTACTATACATAGTGTAATGCCGCACATTGCTCGATAACAATAAAGAATAGGACAACATTTAAAAAGAACGACTTTGTAAATTGAAAATGTATAGAAATAGAAAGATCTATATAAATATACTAGGATATTTATATTTTACTCAATATCTACGGGAAAATTAGACCATTTACATATATCTGTGAGGAAAGAAAATATGTTCCTGTTTAGTGTTAATTTAAGGGTATACATACTACCTATTTGTTACAATGATTCTGGGATTAATATAATATAAATTTGTAATATATACATATATATAATAAATATTTTATATATTCATATAAAAATCACTTCAAATGGACATCTTAGTAACAATACAAAATTAGGAAAATTTGTTGTTATTGTATTAAAAATATTTACAAGTATATATAGGGTGTCCCATAATTATGTTAACGCCTGGAAAAGGGGGATTCCTGAAGTCATTTGAAGTAACTTTTTCCTTAGAGAAAATGCAATCCGCGGCTTTGTTTACGAGTTATTAATAATATAAAAAATGATAAATAATTTTAATACAATAACAACGAACTATCCTAATTGTTTCTTATTAATAAAATGTTTATTCGAAGTGATTTTAAAAAAAAAGTATTGGAAAGTATTGTATTGAAATTAAAAGAATTTAAGGGTATCGACATATTATTTACAATTGATTAAAATCATTAAAGGAAGAAGCAAATTATGTAGTTTCAATGTTTCGTAAATGATTCAGAAAATTTCTATTTTGAATAAGATTCGAAGTTACTATATCTGTAGTTCTACATTTTGCAAATTTTATTTGAAATATCTAATTGCGCGCGCGCTGTAGCGTTTTTTGAATATCAGCACTCGGACCGCTTGATTCGGGTCCATCTAGACCCAGAGCATAAATATCGTTATTTGACTTGCTAATTTCCGACAATTCATTCAAATTTTCACTATGTTAAAATTTCAATACACGAGACAACAATTGTTAGTTATTCTAAAGATTTAAGCAATAATTGTTTCTTTTTCGTTACAGTTATACATATAATAATTATATTTATATTTTTATAAAATTCATATAATTATTTTATATTATACACAATTTCTATAACAATATTGTTACCATTTTTGCATAATATAGCTTTGTTGGTTCTTTTGTCTTTCAGTTCATTTATATAGTGATTTTATTACCATTTTCGACACTATTTACCATTATTGCATGTATGTCAAGTAATTTTTATAATCTTTTTATTTCCCTTCCTTATTTGCAAAATGGAATACGAATATAAATGTACGCATCAATTAAGACCATACAAATGTGACTCGTTATTAATATAAAATTTGTATTTCAAACGAAACCTTAATAATTTATAAACATAATGGAAATAAATATGCGACAGTAGAATTCCAATAAGACACGTAATGATACTTCCAAAATTATTTCGACTAATTTGGGAATGACGTCGGTTCAGTTGGTAGTCGTTAATTTTTAATAATTAAATTAAATTGAATTGAATTGAATTGAATTAAATATATTCAATCTAATTTAATCTAATTTAATAATTGAATTGAATTATTACAATTATTTGAATTCAATTCAAATTTAATTAAATGAAATTGGATTAAACTAAATTAAATTAAATAAATAGAATTAATAACAAATGAATCACATTGTCACGAAAACGTGGCAGTATGGTTGCAATAGTCCAGTGAATTTTTATAGAATTTTTAATAAGAATGCGTAATATAAAATCTCAATACGGAAGTAATATTTAATTAAAAATTTAATATAAAACCTTACTAATGTAATAGCGTCCAAGTATCTGTCACAGTATATGTGTAATTATTTCCAAATTTTGAATGTAATTAGTTTAGATCGCAATTAGCTGATCCAATCTATGATTTTGAATTTCTAATTTAAAGGCATAATTGAACGCCTTATTAACATAATTAGTTTAGATATTATACTGGTCGGAGCAATAATCTTGAATTTCTAACGTAAAAGCGTGATGCAGCCTTATTAACATAAAGGTTATTATGCTTGACATTATCATGTTTAATACAGAAAAGTATATATTATACGAAAGTATTTTTTTATTATAATTAGTTTAGAAATTATTCGCAGAAACAAGATTACAATATTGAATTTTATGTTTCGTTGATATAAAAAATACAATTGTTTTATTTCCCCTAAAATATCCATTTTTACATCAACGGATCACATTCCGAACAATGTTCTCTACCTTAAGTTTTACCTATCGCTATCTACACAGTGTCCGTTAATCTTTGTCCGTTGCCGCTTGCTCTCGATATCTGTTCATTGATGTTTTCCTGTCAGGGAACAAATACCTGTACGCTATTGTCCGCGAACGTCAATGTAAAATATGCATCAAATAATGGAGCACTAATTTTGATTTTCACAAAATTGTATAAATAGTACAAATTAATTTGCAAAAAATTCTACAATATATTACTTTGTTTGCATCGTCCTCTGCAATACGAATGCAATTTTAGTTTCAATTTTTTAGAAATTAGATTGTGTAAATTATTGCAAACTTAACTCGTGAAGTTAATATGTACAATTTTTGGCAAAGTTAATTTATAAAACTAATCTGCAAACAATGCTATGATATATTCATTCGATTGCATTGTTTTCAGCAATACCAATACAATTGTGGTTTCAACTTTTTAGAAATTAGGTTGTGTAAATTACTGCAAACTTAACTCGTGAAATTGATATGTATAAATTTTGGCAAGGTTAACTTATAAAACTAATCTGGAGTACTAACTACTAATGCTGATAAAATTTTAGATTCAATTCTTTAGAAATTAATATGTGAACATTTTTTCGTGAAGATTTCGATGAGATTAATATGTCGAAAATTTTGGCAAAGTTAATTTGTGAAAATTAAAATTAGCGTCCATGCGACATCGCTATAAAAAAAGATATTAATGCCTGAACGTCTGATTCCTAGATTACCGTGACCACCATCGGCTACGGTGACACAGTTCCACAAACCTGGATGGGAAAAATCGTAGCCTCGTGTTTCAGCGTGTTCGCCATATCTTTTTTCGCACTTCCAGCCGTAAGTATTATCTCTTCCTCAAATTGATAACTCCCTGAACTAAGATTAGGTACCGGAAAAAGTTCGTGGGATTTTTCTATCAACGATAAGCTTAATACCAAATTGTTTGTATCAAGTCGCAAGTTGAATACACAAAGTTAAAATCAATGCAAAGCTCCATGCTTTAGATTGTGTAATATAAAATGTCGGATTTTTTTCCCTAACAAATTTCAAGAAATTTTTTTGTGACTTTTTTTTTAAAGAGGAATTTTTTATCGAGACCCCAAAGGCAAAAAGTTTGCAAAAATATGAAGAACTAAATAATGCGTATTTTTCTCAATAAAATATTCACTTTATTTAAAAGCTTAGCTTTTCCCTTCGAATAATTCAACGTTTCATATTACACGACCTGATTAAAGTGTCAAGAATTTTAAATAAATTCAGTCTTGCCAGAGTTATGAAGCAACATACATCGATCATTTTTAGTGCTTCGTAGACTAAAATTCCACGAGATAGCCTTCTTCGAACAAACGTAAGATAGGGTGTACATGTCCCAATTACTGTGCCTTCGAGCCAATTTTTGCTTTCCGGAACTCTTATTAAATACTAGAATTTTCATTCAATGCACTGAAAATATATTTCGATTTTTCAGACATTTTTGATTTTAAACATATTTTTTTACATGATAAAAATTAGTAATTTAATAATGTTTTTAATGCAATAAAAAATGGTGTCTCTGGCCGTAATTCCGTGCCCTTCCAAAAGCTCTGCACATGATTTCGTGCCCCGTATTTTCGCGTCTTTCCATATCTCCGTGCGTGTACTTCGTGCACGCTTTTTCAATTGTTTATACGGTTTAATATAAGAGGACACTGAAATACGGACATGTTCAAAAATTTGATCCTATTTCCGGATTTATATTAAAAATATAAAAATATGCATCATTAGTGTTTCTTTATCGTTGTTCTTTTGCGCCTTTGTTGCATTTTATACGATGTAAATCACATTAACAATTAATTTATACGAGAATCTTCGGCAAGCGTTTCTTACGATTTTTGATAAGACATACTACTTAAATTCCTTAGAACTATTGTAGCATCAATCGAAAACTGTTTGTTATATTTTAACATACGAACAATGTAATACTCCTCCCTGAATTTTACATGTTAATAGTTAAATATAATAACAACAAATAGATCATCAATTTATATATAACGCTTTTCTTTTTCTATACGTATTGCACGTCTATGTAATTATTGCTACGTCGATGCTAAGGGTCAACGGAGTCGATCAAGTGTGTGATGCGGCACGAGACGCGAATTCCCGAAAGACGACACAAAATGGTCTGTCTGGGCGTGAGTCAGGTAAAAGAAACCGCGGAGCTACAAGGTACGTGACTAATCTCCGTGGAATCGTGGCATGTGGCCTCCGAATTGCCTTCGAATCGTGGCATATGATCTTCAAATTGCCTTTGAATAGTAGCACGTGACCTTCGAATTGCTTTCAAATAGTGCCATGTGGCCTTCGAATTGTCTTTGAATAATATCATGTGGCCTCCGAATTGTCTTCGAACCGTGGCATGTGCCTCTGAATGGCCTTCGAATCGTGGCAAAACATTGGAAATAAGAACTTAAGTCATCGCCTTTATTTTAGCATTACTATGTATTTATATTAATGTATACCGGCATGCTGGCCGCTGCCTTTTTTTGCCGACCGCCCCGTGTTTCTATAAAAACGAGCCGCGAAGCTTGAAGAATCGTATCTTAGCGCGACTTAGTATTCTCAGATCTGCGTTCTTCGATACCGACTCCAAACATTTCTGGGAGGAATTACCGTACCGTCTAAGGCTATCCGATTTATTACAATCCTATTTAATGCCATACCGTACTTTCCAGTAATATAGAAATGTGCGAAAATTATTACGTTACGTAAATCTGCTAACGATCAAACATTATCACCATCATACCGGTCCAGCTCCCTCCTCTTAACTCTATCTGTAATTTATTTATTTATTTATTTATTTATTAATGCTTTAAACCAGATGGTTTATTTAGCAAATACAGAGTTGTTACATGCACATATATACGATATTACTTACTGATAGTTTCTATATTCCTATGGAACATTGTTTAAGAAAATTATCAATTATTCGTATTCTCCTTACATCGCGATTACATAAGGAGGAATTAATGCAAAGAGGAAAGTATTAGGTCGTCAAGAATGAAACTTGTAGTTTACAGTTTTGCCAACTTTGGCAGCTTGGTATTTGACAGTGCCTTAATATTTTTCTATGCTGTTTTTTTTGTTAAGAAGCTACACATATTGCCGGTAAAAGGAAATTATCCTAAGCTCTAAAAAATATTATTAACTTTTTTAAAAAACTGTTGTTTTTTTGATAATGGATCGGTCAGAAATTCGTACTGTAATGAAGTATGAGTTCTTACGTGGTACTACGGCATCGCAGACCGCGCGTAACTACTCAGCAAACAGTATCAAAATGGTTTGCCAAATTTCGGAGTGGTAACTTCGACCTCACAAATGATCCACGCGGTCGCCCAGAATCAAAGGCCAATAATGACGTACTAAAGGTCACCGTTGAGTCTGATCCATCTCAAAGTGCTTATGAATTATCATTAAAGTTCGGTGTAAGCAAACAAACAATATTAACTCATTTAGCTCAAATCGGGAAAGTGAAAAAGTTAGATAAGTGGGTTCCTCATGAACTGAACGAAAACCAGAAACAAAAGCGTTTGGAAGCTTGTTTGATGTTGCTTTCTCGCCACAAATCTGATCCATTTTTGAATC